TCTCTCATTCTCTCTCTCAAATAAATAAATAAAATCTTTAAAAAAAAAAAAGCAGGGCTTGACTAGTCATTCTCATCTGGATGGCTCAGAAATGGGGAGGCTTGAAGGAGAAGGATGCAGGGCCACAATTAAGAACTGAGCAGTGCAGGGGCGCCTGAGTGGCTCAGTTGGTTAAGCGGCTGCCTTCAGCTCAGGTCATGATCCCAGAGTCCTGGGATCGAGCCCCGCATCGGGCTCCCTGCTCGGCGGAGAGCCTGCTTCTCCCTCTCCCTCTGTCTGCCGCTCTGCCTACTTGTGCTCTCTATCTCTGTTAAATAAATAAATAAAAATCTTTAAAAAAAAAAGAACTGAGCAGTGCAGGGCAGGAGAAGGATCAGGGGACATGGTCGTGAGGCTATGTTGATGGTGGGGTCTACTTCATCCAGCCCTGGTTAGCTGCTCAGCCTGCATAATTCTTGGCAACATCATGACAGAACAGTCTCCTTAAGCATCATTAGTTTGTAGGCCACACCAAGGGGGGCTAGGTGCCTCCCTGATTTTCATCAAATACCTGAGTGCCTTTGCTGAGCTGTTGGGGAATTACAGAATGTGGAACAAACATTGTTCCTGGTTTTGACTAATTTTCTCTAGCTTGATGGTCTTGGCTTCTTAGTGGATTCTTGGGTCTGTGAGCCTCTCTGATTTTAGTGTCATCTGCAAAGTGGATCCTTTTTGCCTCAGCTTCCAGGGTACTTGACAAATGGCATCGCCATCCTTTCAGGCAGGCCAGAAAGATGGCACCCTTTTCCTCATCTGAGCCTGCAATCTTTCGTCAAATCCTGTGCATCTTTCAGCCCCACTGCCTGCTCAGACCTAGTGTTGGCTTCTCTTTTTCTTTCTCTATCTAGCAGCCCAAGGGGTCTTTCTGAAATGCCAATCTCTGTTATTCCTCTGCTTGAAACCCTAAGAATCCTCTTTAGCAACCTCCTTGGTGGCCTCTCATTGCTGTCAAGGTAAAATCCAAACTTCTTGGAGGAATGTTCCTGACTCTTTATTATTTACCCCTTTAACTCCCCCCCCCCCCCCGCTTCTCCCTGTCAGGAAATGGAATCAGAATTTGCCGGGTAGTGGCAGAGCCAAGGTAAACTAATTTCTCTGTACTTTTGCATGTGCCTTACGTTCTGTTATTTTAGAACACTTCCATTATCCCGTAAAATTAATCTCATGCCTGTTTGCAATCACTCCTGGTGCCCGCTCTCAGCCCTCGGCAACCACTGATCGGCTTTCTGTCATTGCAGTTTTGCCTTTCCTAGAAATTTCATATAAATGAAATGATATAAGAGATAGTCTTATGTGTCTGTTTTCCTTCATCATGTTTTTGAGGTTCATTCATGTTGAGTATATATTAATATTCAGTCCTTTTTATTGCTAAGTGATACTCCATTATATAGATTTACCATATTTTGTTTATCCATTTACCAGTTGATGGACATTTGGATTATTTTCAGTTTTGGCTATCGTAGTAGTCCTATTTGTAAACATTCACATGTAAGTGATGTGTGGACACATTTTCATTTCTTTGGGGTATATATGTGTGGAATTGCATATGTTAAATCCATATGTTAAACATACATTTAACCCTGGCTTTAATTTCCATTTTTTCTAATGACTAATGATGTCAAATATCTTTTCATGTGGTTACTTGCCATCAGAATATCTTTGCTGGGGGTGCCTGGGTGGCTCAGTCGTTAAGCATCTGCCTTCGGCTCGGGTCATGATCCCAGGGTCCTGGGATTGAGCCCTGCATCGGGCTCTCTGCTCAGTGGGAAGCCTGCTTCTCCCTCTCTCACTCCCCCTGCTTGTGTTCCAGCTCTCACTGTGTCTCTTTCTGTCAAATAACTAAATAAAAATCTTAAAAAAAAAAAATTAGAATATCTTTGGTGTAGTCTAGGGTTATGAACACAGATACGATTCTTTTATTTTTTTTTTTAAGATTTTATTTATTTGAGAGAGAGCGCGTGCACACCTGCGCACAAGCAGGGGAAAGGGCAGAGGGAGAAGGAGAAGCAGGCTCCCCACTGAGCAGGGAACCCGATACAGGGCTCTATCCCAGGACCCCGGGATCATGACCTGAGCCGAAGGCAGGCACTTGCTTAACTGACTGAGCCACCCAGGCACCCCCATAGGTATGATTCTTGATAGACAGTGCCCAATTGCTTTTTTTTTTTTTTAAAGATTTTGTTTATTTATTTGACGGAGAGAGAGACACAGCGAGAGAGAGGGAACACAAGCAGGGGGAGTAGGAGAGGGAGAAGCAGGCTCCTGGCTGAGCAGGGAGCCTGATGCGGGGCTCGATCCCAGGACCCTGGGATCATGACCTGAGCCGAAGGCAGACGTTCAATGACTGAGCCACCCAGGCGCCACCGCCCAATTGCTTTTTAAGAGGGCTTCGGTTTCACTGTAGTAGCTTTCAAAATTGGGTAATTAAAAAGTCATAGCTAATTTAATGGGTATCATTAATTGGAGGATATGCCGACCCTGGTTTACTGTTGAGGTTGGAGCTAACGAGGTTCTCAGGTGATCGGTTCATGGCTGTACTGAAACTCCCAGGCCAATTCCCAGTTCTCCTCTCCTTCTGTTATCCTATAGCCACACAAAGAAAACCATACCCCCCTGCTTTGCGGGGATGTAATGTGTTTGGAAGGCAGCTGTGCTCCCCACTTTACCATCAACTTGATATAACATACTTGTTGTTCAGTTTCCTAGTTTGACAAATCCTGGCAATTGCCATACTGATTTTCTTAAAATTTTTTTTATTGTGGTAAAAAGCACAGAACATAAAATACCATACTGATTTTATCTAAGACATAAATGCACTTCCTTTAAGAGTCAAATAGTTCTGTAAGGCTTATTGTGAAAAATAGCAGTCCCCTGGTGTGTATTTCCCCCAGACAAAACCTTTTAATGCTTAACCTCAGTGGCAGCCTCATTGTTTCTTTTTGAGCTGTTTGTTTTATTTTTGCTTCCATATATAAGTAGCTATTCTCTTGACTTCCCTGTTGAGAGCTGAGAATTGGGTTTTCTTTCATCTCCTCCTTCCAGCTCATTCCCCTCTCCTCCCAATGCAGTTTATAATTTTTGCTGAATCAATATTCAGTGTTTCAGGCAAGTCAAACTCTATGTACCGCTGTTTAGTATCTCTTTCTGAAAGGTGGTTATGAGGTAAGCACTTACATAAATCTGTGTTTGTTAAAATCATGTGTTTACTTTATTAGAACTGTGGAAACACTATTCATAGGTGAGCTGTATGGTATACTCCGATCACTTTGCCTTTCTTGCATAACTCTTTCCTAATGTCTTCTTTTCGCTTTGTTTTCTATGTATACATCATTCTTTTATGCCCAAACTTTCCCCCAGTAGTCCAAATTTCCTTTCAGAAGGAAAGGTCAAAACAGTTGGCTAATTTTTTTTTTTTAAGATTTTATTTATTTATTTGACATGGGGGGGCGGGGCACAAGCAGGCAGAGCAGCAGCAGAGGGAGAGGGAGAAGCAGACCCCCCTACTGAGCAGGGAGCCCAATGTGGGGCTCAATCCCAGACCCTGGCATCATGACCTGAGCTGAAGGCAGACACTTAACTGACTGAGCCACCCAGGCGCCCCAGCAATCGGCTATTCTTTCAGTTTTGTCTTCTTGGAGATTATCTCTGGGATCATTTTGACCTGCTTTAGTCCAGACTGGGTGCTCTACAGATTTGCTGTGTATCTGTCATCCTGGGTTTCTTGTTTATTGTCCTGCAGATTTCCTTCACTTCTCTTTTTAGATTGAGTCCTGTTTCCTGGCTCCCGGGTGTTCCTCTGTGGTTCACTCTCTCTTTTTGGCAAAGCACATTCTTCCTCAGTTTCTTATGAGAGGGTGCATGGGAGATGAGTGTTTTGAAACTTTGCTAATCCTAAAACTTCTTTATTCTGTCCTTACACTTAAGACTTAGGCTGAATATGGATTCTAGTTTGGAAATCACTTCCCATCAGAATTTTGACATTATCCATTTTCTTTTCTTTTTTAATTTTTGAATTTTTTTTGGGCTCGAACTCAGAACTCGGAGATCAAGGGTCGCCTGCTCCACCAACTAAGCCAGCCAGACACCCCTATCCATTTTCTTTCAGAGTTCAGTGCTGCTATGTTGAGATCTGGTACCATTCTTGTTCTTTAAAATACTTGTGACAGACATACAGAAGAATAAAACATGTGTGCACAGTTTAAAAAAGAATAATAAAATAAATGCTCATACACTTACCACTCAGCTTAAGAAATAGAACATTACCATTACTCAGAATTCCCGTGTGTTCCTAGATTGTATTCCTTTCCCTCCCCTCAGAAGTTTCCACTGTCTTGAATTTTCTATCAGTCACTCTCTTGCTTTTCTTTGTAGTTTCACCACCTACTCTGTATTAAAAAGTAAATTCTTAGTTTTGCCTGTTTCTGAACTTCATATAATGGAGTCATACTGTGTTTATACTTTATGACTTGCCTCTTTGCTCACCATTATTTTTGCGATTCATCCATTTTGCATGTAGCTGTAGTTCATTCACCACTGGATACACTTATCCATTGTATAAGTGTATCATTACTTACCTATTCTGTTGGTAGACTTTGGGGTTGTTTCTAGCTTCTTGCTGTTGTAAGTGGTGCTGCTAGAACATTCCATGACCTGTACTCTGGTGCATATGCACACTTTTCTCTAGGTTGTGTATACCTAGGACTGGAGTTGCTGCCTGTTGAGTTTGTTCAGCTTTAGTAGGTAATGTCAGAGTCTCTCCCAAAGTGGTCATGCCTCTCTACATTCTCTTACTCGTGAGTGATCGTTCTTGTTGTTTCACATCCTTGCTAATATTTGGTATTAACCAGTTTTTACATTCTTGTCAATCTGGTAGGTATGAACTAGTTTGTCAGTGTAGTTTTAATTTGCATTCCTCTGGTTACTACTAAGTATGAGTTCTTTTTGTTTGTTCATTGGCTTTTCATGTTTTTTGTGACTTGGTAATTTACAGGAGTTCTTTATATATTTTGGGGCTAATCACCTGTCAGTTACATGTATTGTAGGTGTCTTTGTGGGTTGTTTTTTCATCTGATAAATGCAAGTTCTTTTTTTTTTTTTTTTTTTAAAGATTTTATTTATTTATTTGAGACCGAGAGAATGAAAGGGAGGAGGGTCAGAGGGAGAAGCAGACTCCCCACTGAGCAGGGAGCCCGATGCGGGACTCGATCCAGGGACTCCAGGATCATGACCTGAGCCGAAGGCAGTCGCTTAACCAACTGAGCCACCCAGGCGCCCTGATAAATGCAAGTTCTTAATGTCAAATTTATTTTATATGTCCTTTATTGGCTGGTACTTTTTGTCACTTGTTTAAGAAATCCTTCCCTTTGCCAAGGTTTTAAAGGCTATTGCCGATATATAAAATTTCAGTTGATTTTTATTTATCGATTTGAAATTTTGTAATCTTCCTAAGTTTACTTAGTTGTAGTAATTATCTGTAGGTATTTTGGGTTTTTACAGACATTCACGTGTGAATAACAACAATGTTCTTTCTAGACCTTATTTCATTTTTTCTTGCTCTAGTATGTTGGATAGAATTCTCAGGATAAAGTCCATTTCATCTGATTTTTAAAAAATTTATTTGCTAAAAGTTGTTCATAATCTTCAATCTCTCTAATATCTGCAGCATATATACCGATGCTCCAGCTCGCCACTCCCTGCCTTATTCCCAGTTTTTGGTTACTTCTCCTCCCCCCACTTTTTTTTGGACTTATCAGAGGTTCATCAATTTCAGTAGATTTTTGAAATAACTTTTATTAAAAAATCCTATAAAATCTCTATATTCCCTAGTTCATTAATCTTTGTGTTTTATTATTTTTATTTATCTGCTGATTTGGCAGTTACACTGCAGTCCTCTTTCTAATTTTTTGAGGTGGATGCTTACCTTATCGTTTGTCTTTTCTAGTATATGTGCTGCCGAAGCGAGCACTATCGTTTGTCTTTTCTAGTATGTTTCTCTCCAATTAGTGCTTTTAGGTACCCCCTGAGTTTTGATATGTAATTTTTAAAAATTCAGTTCTAGATATTTTCTAATCTCTTTTGATTTAGTTTTTTTACCTGTGATTTTAGAATTTCTCAATGTTCAAAAGTCTCTTTAGTTATATTTTTGTTACTGAGATTCCTAACCTGATTGCACTCAGGTCAGAGAATATTGTCCTTTTGATACCAATCTTCTGTTTGTTGTGTACTGTTGCATAACAAATTATCCCAAAATTTAATGGCTGAAGAGTGTTATCATCTCACCATTTCTGTGGGTTTGAAATCTGGGCTCAGCTTCACTGCGCCCCCTGGCTCTGGGTTCCTGGCAGGCTGTGACCAAGGTGTCAGCTGGTCATGCAGTCATCTTAAGGCTCAATTGGGAGGAATCCACTTCTAGGTGTTTGGCTTCTTAATGTTTCTTACTAACTTGCCAGCTCATTAGTCATTTAAAAAGATTTGCAAGTATTTCCCCCATCACTATTAGTTCTTTTCAACAGAAGGGTCAGGGTACCTCTTGAGCCAAACTGTTACAGTTAGCACATGTATCTGTTTAAGCTACCAAATACCTGAACTAAAAACAAAGAAATGATTTCCTGGGGAGGGGATTATTTTGTAGACCAGGAACCTGTGTGAATTAGAGTCCAGTCAGGAAACCCAAAGCCAGGTTAGTCTTTCAACAGAGGGACTTGGTAACACAGATGTGGGAGGCCTGGGAAGCAAATGGGAGCACCGAGGTTCCCTAGTGGCAGCAATTGCGGGAAGCAGCTCCGTTGTCTGGGGCTGCGGAAACACAGAGAAGAGTGGGATTCTTGAGCCCGGAAGCGTGGGAGAGGCCCTGTGGAACTGGGGGGACAGCTGCTGGCATGCTGCTGCCGTTTGAGGGGCGCGAGGCGGCTGGTGGTGAGAGGACGGCGAGGAGCTGCCTTTGGAGCCGGCCGCCGCTCCTGGGAGGACACTGATGAAAGCAGCAGCCGTTTGGGAAGGAACAAATTTTCTCCGCCCTGCCAGTTGCCCTCTAGTTTCCCTCTTGTCCATACCGAATAGCTGGAAAAGGAGAATGTGGTTGGCAGAGCCTCAGCCCCTCGAAGCAGAGTACAGAGGAGGAGTGGGTGTGGAGGGGAGGGACAGTCGCCAAATAAAGGGCAAGAGGCTGACCCAGTGCTCTTGGAGTCTCACAAGGCCTGCCTGACCCAGCTACCCAGGGCTGTTCCTTGAGGCCAGAAAGCCATGGCATCATGACTTACACTGTTGCTGCCAGCCATGAGTCCCACACTTCACAAAGTACCTTTCCGTTTATTTCCAGTAACTGGTATGAAGTGACAACTGTTTTCTCCTTTTCTCTTAGAATATAAAATATTACCAAGGTATCCGGGCTGCTGTGAGCAGGGTGAAGGACAGAGGACAGAAGGCCTTGGTTCTTGACATTGGCACTGGCACAGGACTCTTGTCAATGATGGCGGTCACGGCAGGGGCTGACTTCTGCTATGCCATTGAGGTGAGCCACGCTCTTCAGGTGTGTGTCCTGTGTCTTATGTGGGGAGTCCCTCATGCACCTTGCCTATCCTTTGTTCACACACGTTCATGGAGTGTTCACTCTGTGCCAAGCACAGGGCCGGGTTCTAAGGATATGGAGATGAATCAGACATAATTCCTTCCTCCGGGGCCTCATTTTCTCCTCGGAAAACAGCAGTTCTCAGCCTTGGCTGCATGTCAGAATCACTAAATAGCTTCAAAAAATACTGATGCTTAACTGCCCTCTTCCCCCCCAGTTTTAATTTAATTATTCTGGGATGGGGCCTAGGCATTGGGAGTTTTGACTCTGCACCAAGGTTGAGATCTGCTAGCGTAAATGTCCCCACAGAGCCAGCTTTCTTACTATGTTTGTCAAGAATTGGGTGTTTAGAGACACCTGGGTGGGCTCAGTCAGTTAAGTGTATGCCTTTGGCTTGGGTCATGATCTCAGGGTCCCGGGATCAAGCCCCGCATCGGGCTCCCTGCCCAGCAGGGAGTCTGCTTCTCCCTCTCGCTGTCTTTGCCTGCTGTTCCCCCCTGCTTGTGTGCTCGCTCTCTCTCAAATAAATAAATAAAATCTTTAAAAAAAAGAATTGGGTGTTTAATATATGATTAAACATACAGTTTTTCTGGTAATGTCAATAATGCATTCCATTATAGAAAGTATGGTAAATGTAAAATAAAAATAGTGTGTTAACTCATAGTTAACCATTGTTAAAATTTTGGTGTATATTCTTCCCAGCTTTTGGGAAGGGGTGGCATGTATTTAAACACTTTTTCCTATGAAATTTGGTTTGTGTTGTGATTGAGTTGCAAATAACAAAGTCTCAAAATAACAGTGGCTTAAACAAGAGAGAAGGGGCGCCTGGGTGGCTCAGTTGGTTAAGCATCTGCCCTCAGCTCAGATCATGATCCCAGGGTCCTGGGATCGAGCCCCACGTCAGCCCCTCTGCTCAATGGGAGCCTGCTTTTCCCTCTGCCTCTGCTCGCCCTGCTTGTACTTTCTCTCTCTCTCTCTCTCTGTCAAATAAATAAAATTAAAAAAAAAAACCCAAAAAAGAAGAGAAGTGTTTTGTTTTCTCACACAAAGTCTGAAGGTAGCACGTTGGGGTATTCTACTGAGGCTCTTCCCAGCTCCCCACCCACCATCCCCTCAGTATGGCTCTCATGCTCCCGATCTAGAAAGGTGGGCATTTTAAGGCTGAGGGAATACCATTTTGCATCTTTCAGAGTCATGGCAAACGGCGTCATGGTAGAAATCCAGAAAGGTGGATTGTAGCCAGACTATGGAGGACCTAGTGCTACAATAAAGACTTGAAACTCCCATATCCTGAGTTAGTTCTTAACCTGAAGTAAGAATAGTGGGCTTCAGGTTTCATGGAAGTCCTGAGAGTGGAGTGTGTGTGTGTGTGTGTGACTCTGCGCTTGTCTGAGGACTTAGTAAAAACATTAAGAGTCACTTTTTGGCCTTTTTGAGTGTTATCAAGATTTTTAATTAAATACAAAGAAATCTGTTTTAGGATTGTTGCCTTAGTTAGCCTTCAGTAGATTTTATTATCTTTACTTTATAAATGAAGAAACTAAGACCCAGAGAGGTTAAAGACTTAACCTCACAGTTAATAAATAGGAGGGCTAGACCTGGAGACTTGGTCTTTTGATTCCTACTTATGGTGCTCACTCTGTAGTCATAGCTTTGATGGGAGAGTGTGTGAGATTTCTAGCGTGGGTATCTGGGGGGCAGTAATGCCATTGACTGGTAAGAGGAGCTTGGAGGAAGGTACTTGGTTTGTGGGAAAGATCATGCATTTCCTGTTGGATGTGCTAAGTAGGAGAGAGGCAAGTCTCAGGGCAGGAGCCAGTGTATGTGTCAACTGCTAATTAAAGATACAGGGTGAGAACATGTTTTTTGACAGAATTGGTAGGACCGTGCTCTTGGGTTTTTCAAGATAGTCCCATGTCAGTTACCTGGATTTCTAGTTTCTCTCTTGCTGCTCTGATCTGTAACTCTCACATCTCTTCTGTTGGCTTTTGACATCTTATGGTGGCCTCCCAGCTCTTACTTTAGTGACCACTTTTGAGCCTGTGGTCATTCTGTCTGGACTGCCCTGTGGTTTTCAGCTCTGCCTGAGCTGCACGCCAACAGGAAAGACAGGTCCGGAACAGTGAGTGAGAACCTGCTGGTCCCTAGAGCTGGACGTCTGACCCTTTAGAGAGTGGCGTGTACAAGTGCATTTGCAACTCATTTGCTAAAGATGTGAGAGGTGAAGCTGACAGTGTAGGAGATTGTCCAGGGAGAGAGAGTAGAATGAGAAGAGCAGACCTGGGAACCCGTGCCTGTGAGGGAAGAAGAGTGGCCGGTAATGTCAAGTTCACATAGACAGAAGAGACCCTAGAGGGCAGAGGTGGAAGCCAAGAGGGGGCAGATTGCATGGGAATCATGGGAAAGAAGGAGTGGTCAGCAAGTGCGGATGTTACAGAGCAGCATTGCCTGGTAGAACTTTCTGTGATGCTGAATATCTTCTATAGCTGTGCTGACCAATATAGTGGTCCCTGGCCACATGTGGCTGCTAAGCACTTGCGGTGTGACTTGTATGACTGGGGAACTGAATTTTTAAATTTCATGCAGTTTTAATCAACTTATATTTATTTAATTTTTTTTT